CCTGCTTTTGTACTTCCCGACTGGGCCACGCTGGGCAGGGAGCAGTGCCTCTCTGAGCCTGGGAGTCCTCGCTGGGGAAGGGGCGGTTATGAGGCCTGAATGAGCTATGACAGCTCTGTTGGCCCTAAACTCCCAAGACCTGACCACTGTCCCCAGGGCTGGATGGCTGCCCGCCCTGCCCTGAAACAGATGCTCAGCCCGGCTTGGGCCCTTGGGAAGTGCATGACCTTGAGCCTATTACTTAACCTCTCTGACCTTGAGTTTTAGCTGTAAAGTGGGCATCACAATACCCACTGTGAAAGCATATGTACGAGTTCCAGGGCAGCAGCCGCACTGGGCGGTGGGGAACGGGAGGTGTTGGATGACTGAGGGCCTCAGAGACTGAATGCTGGGAGATGCCTCTCTGCGGGGGATGGGGGTGGGGGGCTCCCTGCCCCGGGGCCAGCCTGCTTTCCAAAGTCCCACTGCTCCCTTCCCAGACTTACCCTCTGTCGTGTCACCTGCCTTTAGTCTTCCTGCAAGGAAAATCCTTTTAACCGGAAGGCGTCGCCCACAGCGTCCCCAGCCCCAAAGAAAGCCACCAAAGGACCCAAGCCAGCGAGGCCACCTGCCCCGGGACACGGCTTCCCGCTCATCAAGCGCAAGGTACCAGCTGGGAGCTCCAGGCTGCCAGGCCCAGCCCTCCGTGGCAGCCGCAGGCTCCCCGTGGGGCACTTGGGGAGGATGGGCTGCCTGGGCAGCTGTGCCCAGATGTTGGAGAGGGGTGCGTGGGTGGTCCAGCTGGAAGGTTAACTTGACCAGGGGGATTTCGAGCAGATCAGCTGTTTGCAAGCAGGAGCAATGGTTGGTGCCTCTAGCTCAGCCGTGGGCAAACTACGGCCCGTTTGAAATGAATAAAACTAAAAAAAAAAAGACCGTACCCTTTTATGTAATGATGTTTACTTTGAATTTATATTAGTTCACACAAACACTCCATCCATGCTTTTGTTCCGGCCCTCCGGTCCAGTTTAAGAACCCATTGTGGCCCTCGAGTCAAAAAGTTTGCCCACCCCTGCTCTAGAGCAAGGCCACCCACACTGGGATATCGCCTAGGGAGTGGCAGAGGAGGGGCAGGCCTGCCACGAGATGTGGGAAGTTGTGCCTCCCTCTGCGTGTGCCCATTGGTGCTGGGGCCAGGGGCATGGAGCAGCTGTGTCTGTGCCCACAGCAACCCTTCCCCACCCTGGGTGCTGCCTCTGGTGGCCAGTGCTGGCCCGAGAACGTGAAGCTCCTGGCAGCAGGCAGGGGCGGGTGGCTGTTCCTCAGGTGACCAGGTGCTGTCGGGCAGGTCCAGGCTGACCAGTACATCCCCGAGGAGGACATCCACCGAGAGGTGGACACCATCGAGCGCCAGCTGGACGCCCTGGAGCTCCGCGGGGTGCTGCTGGAGGAGAAG